TAAACAAATTCAGAGAATATACTCCATTATATATTCTTTGTTGATGAGTCCAAAGTTTTATACCTAATGTACTTTCTAATCTAATTTGCATTATCAAATTATCTTTTAATGTCTTTCAAACCTATTAGACTTAACACATCTATAATGAGTTTCTTTACTGATTCTGTTAAGCAAGGAAAACTATATCTATACTATCTAGTCTTCAACTCGCTCAGAGGCCCGAGAAGGAAATAATATTTACTGAGTAAACAGAAAGTACAAGCAAGCGACTTCCAAAAAATGTGAGAAATGACAGAAACAGCTGGCTGCCGGGACAGTCACCCAAGGTTCTCCTGCAACATTGGGGTATCTATCTTCAACCTACAGGCCCAGCATATCTGACAGATGTGTTTATTTATACAACTCTTTTAAAATGTATAATTAAATACAGATCATAGATAGTCACCTATAATATAATAGTCAAAATTTATGTTAGTTAGGTTTTCTAGATATACAGAGATATACTTCAAATGGATAGGTATTCTAGAGAATATGGCATTTAAATTGTTTATTGGGGTTTTTCATGACAATGAGACACAACTGCTCCAGGCAACACCAATTATGTCAGAGAGGAAGATGGGCACTGAAGAAATTCCACGTGGAGTTTACTTTCTTTATAACAAAGGTAAGCCACTGGGAAGAAACTGCCCAATATGCTGTCCAAATTGGGCAAACAGAACACCAAAGAAAGTAACAGCAAACCTCGCCAAGACAAGGTGGTCCAGTCCTTCAGATTATCCTGGTTCACAGAAATGTCTGTCAGATATGCTAGGCCTCTATAGTTACCTAGTGGCTCCATTCTCTGACCTTCAGACAGGCTTTATTTGTACAAGCAAGACATCACCAAAGCCATAAGGAGGAGCAAGTAAATGAGCAGCACTCCTAAATAGGTTCTGTTTCAGTCCTTGCCTCTAGGTTCCTGCCCTGCATGAGTTTCTGTCCTGATTCCCTTTCATGCTAGTCTACAAAAAAAGAAAAACAGAAACTCTTTCCTTTTCAAGCTGCTTTTGGTCATGGATGTTTTATCACAGTAATAGAAACCTGAACAAGACAACACCATACACATAACACCAAATAATTTTTAACTAAAAAAAAAAAAAAAAAAAAAAAAATCTTACCAAGGTGCAGTGGATAACATTTGTAATTCCAGAGGTTGGAGAATGGCCACAAGGTCAAGGTTAGCCTGGTCTACATAGTAAGTTCTAGACCAACCAAGACTTCTAAGAGGAATGTATTCAGTTATACATTTGCAAACTATGACCCAAAAGAAAAAGGTGGCCTACTGCTTTGTAAATAAAGTTAGTTTGTTGGTTTGCTGGTCTTGAGCTTGTTATATAATTGAGGATGACCTTGAACTCCTGATCCTCTAGTCACCATCTCCCAAATGCTGGGATTACAGGCTTGATGGGAGATGTCATTCTGTGTATGTTTTTCATACTGGTTAACGAATAAAGCACTGTTGGCCAATAGGAAAGGAAGTAGTAAGAAAGGAGCCAAGATGGAGAGTCGGGAGAAAGTAGAATGCCGGCGGCCGGCTCCCCGGTAAGAGAAATACATAGATCAGCATAAATGGGTTAATAATTAGGGCAGAGCTGGCGGATGAGAAACTAGTACCTGGCCAGCAGACCTGTACCAAATACAGTCTCTGTGTGTTATTTGGGGCTGGCACAACAGCAGGACAAGACCAGATGGCAGGCGGAAAAAACCCATACTCATTACAAATGGTACCCACGTGACTAGTAAGAACTTCCACTTAAAAAAAAAAAGCTTAAAAAAGGGTTTTAGAAACAAAAGAACAAAGACAAACAAGGTTTCTTGATAGCAGCATTTTTCGTGGTTGAACTCTGCTTTGCAAGAGACAAGCAGATATTCGCGTGGCTCCTTTAAGGGCAGATTCCTGACTCAGCATAAGTGGCAAAAAAAAAAAAAAAAAAACACATGCTTTTAAGAAGCACTGCTAAACAATTTATTGGTGTGTTTGAGAGATGGCAATGGCAGCGACCACATCTCCAAGCCGGCAGCATCCTTGCTGGATGGCAGCAAGCAGACCAAGGTGGTGACCACAGCTCTGAGTGCTGGCGGTAATATAGCCGCCGCCATGTTTGATAAACCACCACAGAAACAACAAAGACTTTCATTTTAACAATGTTGTTGTTTAACAGATAAAGACTCATGGCCAGAAAAAGATAAAGATTTACAGTAAAGACAGATTCATATGAAGAAAAACCTCTAAAGGTTTACAGTGTGTTTTAAAAAATACGTAGGCTTGGGGGAAAAAAAAAACAAACAAACATGGTTTTAAAAAGACAGAGAACAGCTGGATGTTTAATCCCAGCACTCAGGAGACACAGGCAAGCAGATCTCTGTGATTCCAAGTAAACCTGGTAGGCAGAGTGAATTCCAGGACAGATAAGAGTTACACAGTGAAACCCTGTCTCAAAAAATGAAAAAATAGAAGAGAGTAATAATAAAGCCCGGTAAAAATGAAAAGCTCAGAGAGAATCTGTATACTGTATGGCATTATACTGTCTTTATATTGTTTGTCTGCTGAGGAAACAACTGATAAAAGAAATACTGCTGGATTAATTCAATTTATATATTTTAAAAATGCTTTGATTCCAAATTTTAAGTTCAAGGACAAGTTACTGGGGAAAAGGATTTCTATTTTTGTTTCCACAGAAAATAAAAGGCTGTGGATTCCTTCCAGACTAATGTGGTTTGATCAAGCCAGAACCCCTGAAATTGAGGACCAGGTGATCCTACATTCAAAACGGCTGAACAAGGCAGCCTTGCAGACTACAGCCAGGATTTCTGCATGTTCTTAGCATCCCCATGACAGCGTCCTTTACCAGCAGGAAGTAGTTTGGGAAGAATGACACCCAAATTCCCAAATATTGTTTATAAATGTTTGTTTTCATTTAAATGGACTTGGTTATAAATGGTTAATGATCACAACCAATATCCTTTTAAAGGTAAAAAGGGAATTATGGTATAGATATGAATACTTTGTTTTGGAATGGATTTTCATTTATTGATACAATTTAAGGTCAATGTTGTGATATGTATATTTCTCTTCTTGTTTATGTATTGTGTTTATATAGCTCATTTAAAAATGTAATGTATAATTTAGTACAGATTTTACATAGTTACCTATAATAGTCAAAACTTATAGCTAGGTGAGTTAGGTTTTCTAGATATGCAGAGATGTATTTGAGATAGATAGGCATTCTTCAAACCTTTCAAATACCTACAGAATTGGCATTTAAAATGATTTAGGGTTTTTCTTGACAATGAGGCACAACTGCTCCTGGCAACACCACCTGCATCAGAAAGGAAGATGGACATTGAAGAAACACGTTATGGAGTTTGCCTCCAATATGGCAAGACTAGCCATTTGGACAAGATACTGCTCTTGTCTGGACTGTTTGACCTTATGCTGTATAAATTGGACATGCAGGACCCACAGAAAAGTGACTGCTGATTGAAGATGGACATTGATACAGAGTTCCTGCTTCATGGAAGAGTCTGCCAGACAATCTGCAGGACACAGAGAAAAGTGACTGACAAACTGCCAATACAAGAAGACAGTTTAAACTTTCCTGCTTTGCTGAAGAGTCTGCCAGACACACTATGGCCTATGGGCTGAAGATGGAAGATTACAAAAGAACTTCGGGTGACCAGGCAGTGAGATGTCTCTGTCATTTCTAGAGTTTATATATTATCCTTCTGTGGTCTTTGAAGGAGTTGAAGACAGATAGTTATAGTTAGTTTTCCTTAGTTAGGATTAAAGATAAGTTACACATAGACTTTAGACTCACAAAGAGAAGATAGATAATAGAATAGTTTCTTTTAATCTTGCTAAATGTTAATGGACTAAATATTGTTAACTTATTTGATTCTTATTTGATAACTGTTGTGTTATATATTTTGCTATGTTAAGGTTAAAACCCTTCTTTTTATTTAGACAGAAAAGAGGAGATGATGGGAGATGTCATTCTGTATATGTTTCTCATACTGGTTAATGAATAAAGCACTGTTGGTCAATAGGAAAGGAAGATAGGAGGGACTAGGAGACAAGGAGGAAATAGCAAGGAGGAAGGAGTCAGTCAGCATGGAGAGACCAGGAAGACCAGACACCTGTCCCACTCCCCGGTAGGTGAAACCATGTGGAAATACATAGAAATGGGTTAATACTTAAGACAGAGCTAGCCGATAAGAAACTAGTAACTGGTCAACAGGATTATATCAAATACAATTAGGGCTGGCGCGGCGGAGGGACAAGACTGGGCGGCGAGTAGAAAAACCGTACACCTTACACAGGCTTAAGCCACTACTTCTCAGTTTTACTCAGTGCCAGAGATTGAACTCAGGGCCTACCCAACGCTAGGCAGACACTGTATAACTGAACTACATCCCTGACCCCAGAATTAAGATTTATGAAATACATTTAAATAAGAAAACTTAAATAAGAGAAGATATAACTGGCAACTAAAAGATGAAATAAGGGTAATAAAAAAGAGATCCCAAATGTGGGCAGAGGAACATGCCTATAATTCCAATACCCAGGAGATAGAGGTAAGAGTACTGCATGCTCTTTCTAAACATTCAGTACATGCCAAGTGTGATCCCAGTGCTTGGGAGGGTGAAGAGGATTGCTACAGGTTTACCAGGTGTTTAAGGCTAGCCCTGGCTACAAAGAAAAATTCTGTCTCAAAAAATTGAAAAAAAAAACGTTTTCATAAAAACTAACAAAATTCTAAAACCAAAATTCAGCAGAATGAACTAAAACTTTATATAGCTTAGAATACCAATGAGATAAAAGCGATATAATTTTTGAAACACATTTATTTTGCTGTTCAGATCAGAAGCTCACACCATGAGGATTATACACTTTCCCTGACAATAATATTCTTCAAGCATGATAGTTATTTGTGTAATTGTTTTTGAGTAGTCAAACTTACCGAGTACCATCTGCTTTCCAGCTTACTTTATATGGCTTCTGCTCTAAAAGTCTAATATTTTGCTTGTCCATGGAAACAGGTTGTGCTCCAGGGAACCCAGACCTTAAAGAAAAAATATTACTCTGTCATGGCTACAACCCATATAATGCTATCTTTGTGTTAAACCAATCTCAAATGGCTCACATGTTGATCACAATGTTCTTCCTATCATGAGAATAATTTCAAATGCAACAGCACCAGCTGTCACAAAGACTCAGTCAGGAATAATGGTCCATTACTTTAATCTCAGCACTCAGAGCAGAGGCAAATGGATCTCTGTGAGATTGAAATTAAGTTGGTCTACATAGTGAGTTCTAGGACAATCAGAGCTACATAGTGAGACCTGTCTCAAAAAATAAATAAATAAATAAAAATAATCTCTTAACATTTTAGAATACAAGTTTACAAGGTATACTAAACTGCCACTGCTATAATATAAGTATTGGACTAATTTAAAAATGTTATTTGCAGGACTGAAAAGAGAGCTCAGTGGCTAAAATGCTTCCTATGTATGAGGGCTGTGCTACGGTCCCCACGACCCATGTAAAAAGACAAGCCTAGTAGCATGTGCTATAATCCCAGAACTGGGCGGGGAGAGGTGGAAATAGGAGGTGGAAATAGGATCTAGAATTGTTGAGGTAACTAAGCTAAAATTCAAGCTTTTCCTGCTTTATAATTTATATCATTCATACTATATTATGGGGAACGTGTGAGCACTCAGCCCACACATGCACAGTGGAGGCAGAGGTTGACACTGGAGTCTTCCTCTATTCTTCTCCACTGGTAAGACCAGTCCAACATTAACCAGCAACAGCAGAAACAAAGAGATCAAAGAAAACAACTCTGGTGACAACAGTAATGTAGTCTTGAGGACAATGTGAGTCATCTGATCCTGATTCAACTTGACTGTTACAGATTACCTTAAAAAACACCTGACAACCTCTTAAGCACTCAATGTACACACTAACTTTAAGAAACAAACCAAAAAGCCCAGTTAATGTCCGTATCAATTGTGTTACATAAAGAATAAATTTTATTTAAAACTTGAAAATATTCCTTACCCTTCCCAGCCACAGAACTGATGACATTTCTGCTGTACCTCTCCTAACTTTGGTTGAGTTGTTACTTGAGTTACACCTTTAACAGTTATACCTTCCAAGAAAATAGCACCCTTTAAAAAAAAAAGAGAGAGAATAAATGATAATAATAAATATGTATGTATATACACACATATATAATTAAAGGACAAATGTATTTACAAATAAATTAGTTTATTCTCACAAACCTAGGAAACTCAAACTAAACAGAAATAATCTGTTCCACCTGCTATACTAGTAACATCTATAACCTACCAGTCAGGGGGCTCAGGTAAAAAGATTCTGAGGCCACTGTAGGCTATATAGCAAGATCCTGTGTATTCCAAGGAATCCTATAAAATTTTATGTGCTTGTTTTTAACACTTTTTAAAACCAAAACATTAGTCTATGTGTATACTAAATTAGTTTCAGGCCCATCAGAGACCTTCTGGCATCACTTTCAAGTAAAATCTACCCAACAACTCTAACTGATGTCATTAAAGAATAAAAAAACCTGGTCTACAGTTTGCAAAGGTAAACCTTCTGACCAAGATGTGGCAAGCAATCCACTTGAGAAGAGGAAGAAAGACATTCAGAGTTCATCCACATATACATCACTGTCAGGTCCACACGAGTCCTAAGTCTTTCCAGCAGACAACACTCCTACATTCTGCCTGAAACTCAGAATTAATATGTGCAGTCTTCAACTCTGACTGCCTTCAAATAATGACAATGTAGGGATCCCATGATCTAAGGATCAAAGATAACCAGTGCTTTCCAGTTATTCCATTACCTTGACTGAACAACAAAACTTCTGTTTCTAAACAGGGGTGAAGAAAGGCTCAGTGGTTAAGAACACATGCTGCTCTTGTAGAAGGACCCTAGTTCAATTCTGAGCACCCACATGGCAGCTCACAACTATCTGGAATTCAAGTCCCAGGTGATCCAACACACTTTTCATACCCTCATAGGCACCAGACACACAGGTGGTACACATATATACATACAAGCATAATACTCATACACATAAAATAATAAATCTTAAAAATGAAAACACTTCTACTGTGAGTATCATTCCAGCACTATGGAAACCAAGGGAGGAAACCTACAAGTCTAAGGACAGCTTGGGCTACACAGTAAGTTTAAGGCAAGCTAGACTATATACTGACAGCCTATTTTAAAAATATTTTAAAAATAAAGCCATTTCTATTACTAAATACTGAAAATACATCCTGAAAGCAAATCTCTAAAAACTTGTAATACATCAAATAAAAATACCCAAGTGATGCCAATATCCCTATAAGCTAAATTTTAAATATGCCCACCAACTGTGCCTTATACCTGAAAGCCCCTTTTTTTCTCAACCAGCACAGCATGCTTAAAGTCAGTATTAAACATGTCTTTAATAAAATCCCAAATCTGGGGGCTGGAGAGATGGCTCAGCAGTTAAGAGCACTGGCTGCTCTGCTACTCCAGAGGTCCTAAGTTCAATTCCCAGCAACCACGGGATGGCTCACAGCCACCTGATGCACTCTTCTGACCTGCAGGCATACATGCAGACAGAATGTTGCATACATAATAAATAAATATATCTTTAAAAAAAACCACACACACAATCAAACAAAATCCCAAATCTGCTTTAAAAAAGAAATTACAAATGCTAAGCAAGCACTCCAACAATCCCTTGGTGTAACTTTTAAGATTCTTTCCACTACATAGGCATGAAAATAAGTAAGTATATAAATAAATAAGCAAACCTTTAAGTTGTATCTATCTCATTGTGCAAATCAGTAACTATTAAAATCAAAAACTGAAATATTATTTTCAAAAATGTATTAAGCATATATGCTCAAGATTAACATTGCTTTTAAAACCTGTGTTTGAAAAGTAAGGCATGGTAGGACATGACTATAAACTAAGTCATCTATGTATTTCAACTTCCTTACAAAAATGTACCAAAAAGAGCAAGCCAGCCATGTAAGATGGCTCAGGGTGTAAAGGTCCTTTCTACCAAACCTAAAAACATAATCTTGATATCCAGGGTAAGATAGAAGAACAGACCCAACTCCAGGTTGTCCTATGACCTCCATAGGTATAGATGCATGTACACATGTGTGTCCACAGAAAGAATATCCAAAATTTACAATCAGAAAAATAAAAATGGGACATAACAATAGACACCAAGGAAATCCAGAGAATCATAAGAACATGCTTTAAAAACCTGTACTCTACAAAATTAGAAACTCTTAAGTCTCCCAACTAAAACAGAGCCCACAGCCTGATGGTTTTAGTGCAGAATTCTATTAGACTTTAAAGGAAGAGTTAACACCAGTACTCCTTAAATTATTTCAAAAACTAAAAACAGAAGGAACATTGCCCAATTCCTTTTATGAGGCAACAGGCACCTGATATCCAAACACAAAAACAAAACACAAAAATTCAACAAAGAAAGAGAACTACAAACCAATTCCCTTTATAAACATATATGTAAAAATACTCAATGAACAACTCAAAACCAAATAAAAGAACAGATCAAAAAGATTATGCACCATGACAAAGTAGGTTTCATCCCAGAGATTCAGGGATGGTTCAACATAAGAAAAAAAAAAAAAAAAAAATCAGTCAATGTAATCCACCATATAACAAATTACAAAGAAAAATAAAACCATATGATCATTTCATTAGATGCAGAAAATGCCTTTGATAACATCCAACACCTCTTCATTGTAAGTCTTGGAGAAGAGTCAGGAATACAAAGAACATGTCTATTATACATAAAAAAAGCAATTTTAAGCAAGGATATAACAACCATCAAGTTAAATGGAGAGAAACTCAAAGCAATTCCATTAAACTCAGGAACAAGACAAGGCTGTCCATATTCTATTCAATATAATAATTGAACTTCTAGCTAGAGCAATAAAACAACTGAAGGAGATCAAGGAGATACAAATTAGAAAGATAAAAGTCAAAGTATCGCAATTCACAGATGATGTGACAGTATACATAAGTGACCCCAAAAAATTCTACCAGGGAACTCCTACAGCTGATAACCTCCAGCCTACAGGCTGGATACAAGATTAAGTCACAAAAACTAGTAACCCTTCTATATACAAATGACAAGCACACTGAGAAAGAAACCAGGGAAACAACACCCTTCACAATAGTCATAAATAATATAAAATATCTTGGAGTAACTGTTACCAAGCAAGTGAAGACTTAAAGACTTCAAGTTTATAGAAATTTAAGAAGATATCAGAAGATGTAAAGCACCCATGCTCATGGACTGGTAAGAGTCATATAGTAAAAATGGCATTCTACCTAAAGCAATCTACAGATTCAATGCAATCCCCATCAAAAACCCAACACAAGTCTTTACAGACCTTGAAAGAACCATACTCAACTTCACATGGAAAAACAAAAAATCCAGGATAGTTATAACAATCCTGAACAGTAAAAGAATCTCTAAAGGTATCACTTTCCTTGATTTCAAGCTGTACTAAAAAAAAAAAAAAAAACCTTATGGTATTTGTAGCATAAAAACAGACACATTGATCAATGGAGTCTAATTAAAGACCCAGACATAAACCCACACACGTATGGACTATATATATATATATGAATGAAAAAGAACAAAGCTTTTCAACAAATAGTACTGGTCTAACTAGATGTTGACATGTAGAAGAATGCAATTAGATCCATATCTATCACCCTGCATAAACTCAAGTCCAAGTTGATTAAAAACCTCAACATAAACCCAGATACACTGAAGTTGATAGAAAAGAAAGTGGGGAATAGTAGTCTTGAATGCATTGGCACAGCAGACAACTTCCTGAGCAAAACACTGATAGCATAGGCACTAAGATCAACAATTAATAAATGGGACCTCATTAAAATGAAAAGCTTCTGTAAGGCAAATAACACCATTAATAGGACAAACAATAGGACAAAATGACAGCCTACAGAATGGCAAAAGATTTTCATCAACTCCACATCCAATAGAGGACTAATAATAACCAAAATATATAAAGAACTCAAGAAACTAGGTATCAACAAACAAAATAATCCAATTTAAAAATGGAAAACAAATCTAATCAGAGAATTCTCAATAGAGGAAACTCAAATAACCAAGAAACACTTAAGGAAACATTCAACATCCTTAGCCATCAGGGAAATGCAAATCAAAACTACTTTGAGATTCCATCTTACACCTGTCAGAATGCCTAAGATCAATAACACAAGTGACAGTTCATGCTGGCAAGGATGTAGAGCAAGGGGAACATTCCTCCATTACTGGTGAGAGTGCAAACTTGTGAAAAATGGAAATCAATATGGCAGTTCCTCAGAAAACTGGGAATCAATCTATGCCAACACTCAGCTATACCACTCTTAGGAATATAGCCAAAAAATAATAGATGGACATTGAAACACTCAGGAGGCAGAGGCAGGTGGATCTCTGTGAGTTTGAGGCCAGCCTGGTCTATAGAGCAAGTGCTAGGACAGGCTCCAAAACAATACAGAGAAGCCCTATCTCGACAAAAAAAAAAAAAAAAAAAAAAGACAATCCATCCTACCATAAGTGGCCTTATTCATAAAAGCCAGAGACTGGAAACAACCTAGAGGTCCCTCAACCCAAAAAAAAACTGGATAAAGAAATACACAATGGAGTATTACTCAGCTGTTTTTATGTTTTTATATATGTATGTATGATGTGTGTGTATATATATATACACATATATACATATACTTACACATATGTATGTGTGTGTGTGTGCGCGCGCGTGCATGTGTGTAAAATGAAATTTGAAGGGAAATGGATAGAACTAGAAAAAAGAAAATCATCCTGAGTGAGATGGGAGGTAATCCAGTCTCAGAAAGACAAACATGGTATGTACTCACTTATAATTGGATATTAGATGTTAAGTAATGGATAATCATGCTGCAATCCACAGACCCAGAAAGGCTAAGTGACAAAGAGGGTTCTATCAGGGACACATTGATCTTCTTGGAAATGGGAAATAGGAGAGAGATGAGTTGGCCAGGGATGGGTGGAAATGAGAACGGGAGGGGGAGGTTGGAGGGAGAGAGCATGAGGAGAGATGACTAGAACTGGAGGGCACCTGGGGATGGAATGTGGAAACCAACTGCAGCAGAAACTCCCAGGACTCTACAACGGTGACCTTAGGGAGGTCTCACAGTGTGAGAGGATTTGAAACCTGGACTGGTCAGCCTTTGTAATCAGGCAAGGCTATAAGTGGTGGAACTGGGACACTAACCCAGCCACAAAATGATGGGAGATGTCATTCTGTAAACATGTTTCTCGTATTGGTTAATGAATAAAGCACTGTTGGCCTGTTTCTAATGTTTCTTATTGGCTGGCTCTGTCTTAATGATTAATCCATTTCTATTAATTTAAGTACTTCCACGTGGCCTTATCTTACCTGAGAGAGGGGCTGGCGTTCTGCTCTCTGTCCTCCATCTTGACTCTCCTCCCTACTCCTTCCTCTCTCCACCTAGTCCCTTAGTCCCACCTATCTTGCTTTCCTATTGGCCAACAATGCTTTAGTCATTAACCAATATGAGAAACATGTTTACAGAATAACATCTCCCATCAACAAAAGCTTCTGCAAGATGTGCTGGGGCAATGGAGGCACAGAATTTGTGGGAGTGGCTAACCAATGTCTGGTCTAAGGCCCAGGCCATGTCATGGCCCAGGCCATGAAAGGGAAACCATGCCCGAGATCTATGATAGAAAGAGAGGAGGAAAAAAAAAAAAATCAACAAAATGATTCCTAATGATATTCTTATACACTTATAGATTGGTTTGATGCCTAGCCCAATTGTCATCAGAGAGGCTTCTGCCGGCAGCTAATGTGAACAGATGCAGAGATCCACATTCAAACATTAGGGAGAAAGAGAATCCAAACTAGAAATCGCTATCAGGTCCCCCTCTCCTTGGAGCTCAGGGAACCCTGTAGAGAGGAGAAAGAATAACTGTAGGAGCCAGAGGGGGTCAAGTATACAAAGCCCACTGAATCAACTAATTAGAGTTCTTAGGAGCTCACAGAGATATATATTATGGTTGTTAGCTTGTGTTTCTTTTTCTGTTGTTGGTCTCCTACAGGGGAAGTGGAGGTGTCTCTGTTCTCCCTCCTACTAGGTTGCCTTATCCAGCCTTGATAAAGATCTGTGCCTAGTCTTATTATTCTAAGAGGCCTGCTCTCTTCAGAAGAGAAATAGGGGAGAGTCTTATTATTCTAAGAGGCCTGCTCTCTTCAGAAGAGAAATAGGGGAAAAGTAGATTTTTTTGCATATGTCCATTAGAGTCCCTGGAACTAGAATTATAGTTATGAGCTTTGCCTTGCGGATGCTAGCAACTGAATCTGAGTCCTCTATAATTATAGTTTTATTTATTTATTTATTTATTTATTTATTTATTTAATGTAACCAAGTCCATTTAAATGAAGACAAACATTTATAGACAATATTTGGGAATTTGGGCATTGTTCTTTCCAAACTACTTCCTGCTGGTAAGGGGCGCTGTCATGGGGGACTCGACCTCTATAATAATAGTAAGTGCTCTTATCTGATAAGCCCCACTTTGTACATTTTACATGAGTGTTTGTCTGCCTGGCTTTTTTATGTGGTGCTGGGAACAGAACTCCGGTTCTCATGCCTTAACTGAGTCATCTCACTAGCCTGAGAATAAGTTACTTTTGAAAATATGTCTCTTTTAAAGCAATTTACAGTTGTGGGTGGCCTTATAGTCTTCAAGATGGAAATGTGTAAACACAATTAAAGGTTTCCCAACTAAGAATGTAAAGGAAAAAAAAAAAAAAAAAAAAAAACTAAAGTAACAGCTACATAATTGATAAATCAAGGCATTTTTTCCTCCTTGTTTGTGAACCACTGTCAACTAATACATGAGTATTAGTAGTGTCTACTGGCCAACCACAATATACCTTAATTACTAACTTCATCAACACTTGATTTCCTCCACATTTCTGTAACTTTCCCTTGGTCTATACCAAGTATGTCTGTGCACGGGGAAAGAGTACTATCTTCTCAACAGATCTCTTGTCACTGCAGGAAAGAGGAGGATAACTCCACTCTACCGCTTTTAATTAAACACAGGGTCATGTATCCCATCCTCACCTACAACTATACAGCAGAGGGTAGCCTTGAACTCCTGAGTGCTGGAATCAGCATGCATCCCTATGCACCATTTATACAGTGCTGAGAAATGAACTCAATGTTTCATGAGTTCTGGGCAAGTATTCTACCAACTGAGTTGTAGCTACAACACAACTAGTATTTTATTATACTTTTAATCCTAGAAGAATAAGAAACGTTGACTAGGGAAGTAGAGGTCTTCTAAACTGTATATAGTACAAAGGAAACAGCACCTATGGCAAGGGACAGTTACATTACCTATAGGACTATTTTACAGAAACATTCTCACTGGTTATTAGGTAATATACTAAATATACTAAGTCTATTGTTAATACTAAATATAGTTAGTAGTTTATTAGCTAATGTCAATCTAACATCTAAGAGTTCTTTGGTTTACATAAGAAACAAAACCAAGATGAAATTTCTTAACTCCAGCTTTTCTTTGGGGGAGGGGTAGCCTGCTGAGCTACAAAATGGCTCAGCAGGTAAAGGTACTTGTTGCCAAGCCTGACAGCCACAGTTCGATCCCAGAAAGCACAAGATGGTTGGGGAGGAATGAGTCCCTCCAAGTGGCCCTTGACATCACATTCCCACCACAACAGGCAAGCCCCTCTAACCCAAAGAATAAATAATTTTGTAAGACAAAATTTTAAAGACCAATTGGCTGGCTAATCTTTAGAAGTGAGATGTGGTTGGGCAAGCCTATACTCTATCTCAGCATTAAGAATATTACTCAGCACTCTGGCAGGAGAATTGAGAGTTGAGGCAAGCCTGGGCTTCACAGTGAGACCCAACCATACCTGCCTTGAGGTCTCCATCTGGTTCATGATGTCAGGACTTATTCAATGGGTTTCGGGTAGAACCAAAATTAATTTCATAAAATCAAAGGCCACTTTATGCTCTTTGAGAGAGGGGGGGGGGGCCAACAGAAATATGGCCAATAGCCCACAATAAGTTAATGGTATTTGGGCCCATCAGGATGGGCTCCTGCAGTTAGCCTGGCAACCTGACTTTGACCACCAGGACCCACACATAATATGAAAAAAGAACTGACTCCACATGTTATCTTCTGACCTCCACGTGCATATTGTTCCATTCCCTACCAAGGCACATACATTCAAGCATGCATATATACAAAACAAATGAATAAAATACAAAACAAATTACACAAAAGTGTAATTAAAAATAAATTATACTTTTAAAAGAATATTCAGTATTTGTAACATTACCAATTTTAACCGTTCTTTTCTCCTTTTACCAAAGGAAGCACTTGAGCCCGGTTCTGAGTCCTTTTTTCCATCTTCATCCTCATCATCTTCATCATCATCCTCAAAACACCAATCTGGCAATACAGGTGGTGGTGGTGCCTCTTCTATATCACCATAGCGACGAAAAAGTTCCTTCAAATAATCACCCTTATAGATTCCTGGTGGTCTGGCTTGGGCAAACGTAGCAACTGCTGCTTCAATACTATGGAAAACAATCAACACAATTTTCTCACTAGTGTCCATTTATGTGGACTTATCAACAACTCATACTCAACATACCACACAAAAAGTACAACAGGCACATCTCCAAGCCGGAAGCTTATAATACATGGTCCACTATAATATATAGTATTTCCTAATATATGGTACATTATAAATGTCTAAAGCACATTGCTATGAGTGTTTAGGACAGACATGTATAGCCAATGAAAAGAAATATTAATAAAACATTGAAAGTCAAGATCTTATAGATAAAAGATCAGTCAAGAGAATGTGAACAGCAAAGTGAACAAACACACTGATTTTTAAAAAACTACCAAGAGACCCAGGCCCAGGCACCAAGAATACACATCTTGAGAGATAAGCATTAGCTGAGTGTGGCATAGGAGTCTAATGTTATTGTATATAATATTGTAATTTTCAACCAAAAAATACACAAAGCAGAAAACTACTGAGTATATAAAGAATAGAAAACAGTAAGAACCATGCTTTGCCTTACTGTATTCCAAAAAAGGATCAACTGGGTAAAAGGTTTTAGAAACATAAACTATGAACCTAGAGCAATAATAAGAAAATTCAGTCAGCAATATCCAATCCTCACAAGATTTCAGGTAACTAGGTTCTAATCCCTCAAAATCTAAAAATATACTTTACAAGTAACATGTTCAATAAAGATTTGTTTAAATGGAGTAATGCCACCCTAAAATGCTTCCTTCATATAGCATTATATGCTTTTCCTAGTAATTAACAGCTATAAAAGATAAATTTCAAAGGAAAACAGCAGACACTTCTAAAGCTGAATACAAACACAAACACTAGAAGACCCAACCTCTACTAATTCTAAAATACAAGAAAAACATGAAAAGTAAGTACACCGTTTATAGGACTCATAAGCACCATGAACTGTCACATACATTTTATCCCACTATCATAAATCTATATACCTCCAATCCATTTTCTCCACCAAAAAGGCACATATGAGGAAACCAGTACGGTTGAACCCATGGGTGCAGTGTACACCTAGAAGAGAAAGCAGCGTGGGTTAAACTGAACTGCTCCAAAGGCCACATTCTGTTTTAAATGACAACCTGCTTTCCAAACAGTTTAGTTACTTAATTACACTACATAGTTATACATTCTAAAAACTCAAAATATTGCTTTAACTAACAGCTTATTAATGTAAGATGTTTAGGATCTAACTTAGAGCACTCACTAGACAAAAATTCTAAACTAATACACTGGTTTATTAGTCTAAAACTTTATACTGTCTAAAATTTATCATTAAAAATATTCAAGAATTTTAGTTTTAAACACACAGGTCAGAAGAACACACTCAAAAATAAGACACCTATATTCTACAACTTTGATTTAGTTTTTCCAGCCCTCCTTATGACCAACATGAAAAACAGTCATAAAGTCAAAAATAAGACCCAAAAAAAAAAAATACATATAATACATATATATGGGTATAAAATCATCTGGGATTAACAGTAGTTGTTGACTATAATCAACTAAAGTGATTGGCTGCTGTAGTGGTTTGAATAAAACTGGTTCCCATAGACTCATAGGAAGTAGCATTATTTGAAAGGATATGGACACGTGGCCTTGTTGGAGTAGAAGTACCTTGTTGGAGGAAGTGTGTCACTGGGGATGGGCTTTGAGGTTTCAGAAGGTCAAGCCAGGCTCAATGTCTCTCTCTTCTTGCTGCCTGCCATTCCAGATACAGAACTCTCAGCTATCTCTCCAGTACGTCTGTCTGAATGCCACTACACTCCCTGCCATGACAATGGACTAAACCTCTGAAACTATACACCAGCCCCAATTAGATGCTTTCCTTTATAACAGATGTCAATGGTCATGGTGTATCTTCACAGTAACAGGACACTGACTAAGAAAGCTGCAGATAACTGATTGACTCAGTATAGTAAACCTATATTATTTTGAAGTGCTTTATAAACCAACTGAGTGTATCTTCACATTAGGGCTTATACTATTTTAATATAAATTTTTACAAGAAACATGTGAAGAAAATAAGTTTATTTTTCTTAAACCCTCTTTCAGAATATACTCAAGATCATTTTCCTGAACACGGTGATACACCCTGGAATCAAAGCACTTAGGAAATATAAGAAAAGATGGTCAGAAGTTCAAGGTCATCTTCAGCTATACAGCAAGCTAAGGCAAAGCTAGGCTACAGGAGGGAAGGAGGGATGGACAGAGGAAAGAAGAGAATTGGAAAGGATCATTGTAAGTTTTAAGCTTTCATTCATGTTTTCATCCCAGCACTGAAGACCCTGAAGCAGAAAGATTAGTCTAAGAGTAATGCCAGTCTGGGCTACTGTCTCAAAGCACAAAACAAAAGAGTTTGGAAATAGTAATTAAAGCCTAACCACTGCACAGCACTCCATAGGCAGAGGCAGACAGATCTCCTGAGTTCGAGGGCAGCCCCGTCTACGAAAGAAGTTCCAGAACAGCCAGGGCTACACAGAAAAACACTGTCTCAAAAAAATAAAAGAAAAAAATTAAGAATCCTATGGCTTTACTAACATAATATTGCTGCTAGATCAACTGCAGACTCAGAATGAACTCTCACAGAAGCCAAGTGTGGTAGCCCACACCACAAATCCCATTATTTAGGAGAATGAAGCTAGAGTTTGGTGAGACCAGCCTAAGACATAAAGCTATATCCTAATTTTTTAAAAAAAACTATAGGGAGTGAGAAGGTAAAGGTGCTTGCCATAAAGCCTAACAGCATGATAGAAGGAGAGAACCAACTCCTGTAAATAGCCCTCTGACCATCCCATCCCCCACATAACTGCTATGCAGATGTGCACCAAGACACACACACACACACACACACACACACACACAAAATGTTAAAAATGTTTGAATAACAACTAAGGTAGAATATTTAGGCCCTGAGTTCAACTTCCAGCATTGTGGCAAATTCTTATAAAACACAGACCTCAGGAATTAGAAGCAGAAAGATCCTGAGTTCCAGGCCAGTATGGGCTACAAAGAGCCTATCTCGGTAAATACCATTTTCATCTCATTTCTACATATAAGATTTCTTTACAAGTGTTTTTGTTAATTAAAATGACAGTTTTGAAAATGACTATTAGCTAAGCCAAACCAAATATGTCCACATATTCATTCATACTAAAATAAAATCTTTACATGAACAATTCTCATAAACAAGGACACAGAGAAAAGTACAGATAGTAAGAATGTGTTGAAATGTAAATACAGTAATCAAAAAGCACATAGAGCAAACTATCAATCAATCAGTGGCTAGAATATGGGATAGCCTAAGTAAGTAATGCCAAATGAAGTTCAACAAAATCCTCTGGAGGCCAGTAAGATAGCTCAGCAGATCAGTTCATAAAAAGGCTTGCTAGGCAAGCCTAACAGCTTTTTTGTTTTCTTTTTTTTTTTTTTGAGACAGGGTCTCTTTATGTAGATTCGGCTGCCCTAGATTTACTACATAAACTAACCTCAGTCATAGGAAGCTCCCTGTTTGTGCCTCCCAAATCTGGGATGGGATTAAAGGAGAACATAGCAATACACAGGTCAACAATGCCTTTCTAAAGTTACTTTCTCAAAACACAATCTAACAACATTCATATATGGAATTTTAATGTTGTATCATGTCTCTCTAGTTTCTCTTTTTTTCAAGCCATAAAAAGTTTCTTAGACAAAAGTCATTTTCCTGTAAAAATATTCTACATTCTAAAGTCCTCTGCTTGTTTTCTCATGGTATTAATCACAGTTTATATTAAAATGCTTGAGACCAGAGGTGGTTTAGGTCTTGGATTTTTTTTCCCCAATTTTGAAAATTTTATTTTAGGGATAGAATTCATGTCTCAAACATGAAACTAATTTATGTTACATACAAACCTAGCCTGAAAGTAATATTGTAGATAAACAGTTTATAGATTAAAGGTCCATAATCTGAACATCCAAAATGTACAATATTTTTAAACCACACACTTTTTAAGTATAGTTAGGATACCACAAATAGCAAATTCCATCCCATGAAACTTTGTTTAAAGTTTTGTTAAGAGTAGTTCTACAGTATTACTGAATTTAGTCTAGAAACATAATTAAATTCATTTTTGTTCTACAATATTACTGAATTTAGTCTAGAAACATAATTAAATTCATTTCCAAATGCATTCTAACACTTCAGACAGGAATATTGTGTAGATGGCTCTGTGTGCTTCATAGTACACAGGAAACATCCAATTGTTAGGTTTTTATTTTCTTTTTCTGTGTGTGACTGACTATATATGTAGAGACCAGAGGTCATTCCACACTTTGAAAATGGACTGGTTTTAGATAACATTAAGGAATTTGTAACTATTCTGTTTGGTATACTAATTACATGGTGATTATATATTAAAAACCAAAATCCCTTAACAGTTAGATATACTGAAATATTCTTAATGAAATGACATGCCATCTATGATTTCCTTTAAATACACAAAAAAAAAGGTCAGGGAAGACAATCAGTCAGAGAATGCCCTGCATGGCACATGAGCATGAGAGCCTGAGTTCAGATCCCCAGCACCCATATAAAAAGCTGAGGTCAGCACACATCTCTAACCCCAACACCAAGGGATTGAAACAGGCAGACTCCTGCTCACTGGCAACCTTAGCCAAATTCATGTGCTCCAGGTTAGTGGGAGACCTTGTCTTGATCTACACAAACACACACACACTCATATAAACATGTACATATAATACACACTTCTATTAATTAAAAATAACAAAAGTAAATACTAAAGTAAATGAGCAGGAAGATTAAAAAAAAATCAGCAATGGTAATTTCTGAATATTCTGTATGTTTGTGAATGTCCTCAACAGAAAGCAGGCATACTGTCTTAAGGAAATCAAGCATACCTATAAGTTCAGGTGGGCTTCTTTCATTAAACCTTTCACACAGGCGAATGAATGTCTCGGTATTCTCAGTCGTGGGGCATTCACCATGTCTGAGAACACAAAAAGAAGTTGCTTAGAAAAGAGATTACAAACCTCAATGAAAGTTTTCAATGTTAATAACTTACACTTACCCTTTACACTGAAGTTTGATATACTTGATTCCTTCTTTTTCTATGTCATTTCTGTCATAGAATCTTGAAGTATTTGTCAGATCCACCAACAAGCTCATTTTAACCTTTAAAAAAAGAAGGCAGATTTGCTTGTTACTACATTTATTCCAAAACAGATGAGCAAATGACAAGACTAGAGCACATCCACTCCACTAAGCAGGATGTTCATTGCTACCAAGCAGCTGACAGTGAAAAGTGCCTTCTAAACTAAGAATTCAAACATTCCAGAAATAAGCAGGCATGGAAAATAATTCTAACTAAGGAGGAGAGAAAATATAAGCAGAACAAACTCCACTGTCAACCATGTGAATTCAAAGAGGCAGACACTGTCACTGTTTTCAGTATCTACCTCTAGTCCTCAGAAGCCTGAAGCAGGACAGCATTCTTCTGAAAGAGTTGAGCTCTAGCCCCAGGGACACATGACCCAGGTCTGAAGTAGCCACCAAAACTAATACTTATAGCTATTCAATATACTGTATCTCAGCCCTAAAATAGGTAAGAAGCTATTTATGCAACAAATGTGTGCTCCTTTTCTATTTAGTTTATTCTTCTATTTTCTAAAAATACACTAATACCTAGAACTATATTCCTTATAAAGAAGCACAGTTTAAAAAAAAAAAATGAAAACAGAAACCCAGTGTGGTGGCACACATCTCTAATCCCAGAGGAAGACAGAACTCTGGTCTCCAGATGGAGTTCTAGGACAGTTAGGGCCACACCAAGAGGGTAAAAAAAATGAAAACAGACTCTTCTGTAATTCTTATATTCAATTCCCATGCTGAGGAGATGGCTCAGTGGGCAAAGTACTTGCTCTGCAAGCATGAGAACCTGAGTTCGGATCCCCAGCACCCACATAAAAAGGCAGGTGTGGTAACACACACCTGTAATCCCCAAGCTGGGAGGTGGAGACAGGATGATCCTCGGGGCTTTGTTGTCCAGCTAGTCTAGCCAAATCAGCAATCTCCAGGTTCAGTGAAGGACCTTGTTTCAAAAAAATAAGTTGGAGAATGACAGAGGAAGACATCAACCTCTGGCCTCTGCACGTATACTCCTCTTCCTGGATATCAGAAAGAAACAAGATAAGGGTTTGAAAATGAATTAAAATCCTAACTTCATTTTCAATAAAAATGAGAGGCATATATAAATGGTTATTTTTAAAGTGTAGCTCTGAAGCCTAGTGTAGTGGCTCATGCCTAGTACATGGGAGGTAGATAAAGGAGAAACAGGACTTCAAGGTCATCCTCAGGTGAAGCACATGAGACCTTGTCAAAAAATAAAATAGAGGGGAAAAAGAGAAAAGAAATGTATGTCTGAACTGAGAGCTCCAGAAAAGAGTTAATTCACATATCCTCTACAACATTCTGTCATACAAAATTTCGAATAACACGAAAATATAACCAATGAAACTGAAACTGAACTGAGTTACCTACCAAAGGCTTTACATTATCTATGAGTGTAAATCCACCACATAAACAGACAAAGACAAAACCACATGATCATCTCATCAGTGCAGAAAAGGCCTTTGACAACATCCAACATTCCTTCAGGATAAAAGTCCAGGATGGACTAGAGATAAAAAGGACAAGCAAGGCAGTAGCCAAGATCAACATAAATGGAGAGAAACTCAAAACATTTCCACTAAAGTCAAGAACAAGAAAAACAAGAATGTTCACTCTCTATTCCATAAAGTACTTGAAGCCTTAGCTAGAACAATTAGACAACTTAAGGGGCTATAGGAAAGGGACAAGTCAAAGTATCCCTATTTGCAAAAGACATGTTTTATATATAAAAGACCCTAAAGATTCTACCAAGAAACCTTCACAGCTGATGAACACTTTCAGAAAAGTAGCAGAATACAAAATTAACTCACAATAAAAAAAACCCTCCTATATATACAAATGACAGACATACTAAGAAATAAATCAGGGAAATATTACCTTTCACAGTAGCCCCCCCCAAGGAAAAAAAAATATCCATCTTGAGATAACTCTAACCAAGCAAGTGAAAGACTTGTATAATTAAAATTTTAAGACATTAAAGAAATTGTGGAAGACAATAGAAGATGGAAAGATCTCCCATATATCCTTGGGTCAGTAAAATTAATACTGTGAAAATGGGCATCCTACCAAAAGCAATCTACAGATTCAATACACTCCCCATCAAAATTCCAACACAATTCTTCATAGAAATTGAGAAAACATCCTTCAGTTTCATATGAAAATACACACACATACACAAAAAAAAAAAAAAAAAAAAAAAACAGGATAACAAACAATTCTGAATAATAGAATATTAAAAGCACTACTGGAGTTATCATCATCTATCTCAGATTGTACTATAGAGTTATTGCAATAAAAACAGACATGTTGATTGATGGAATTAAATTAAAAACCCAGACATATTTCCACACATCTTTGGACACCTGATTTTTGACAAAGACAAAAAACACACAGGAGAAAACACGGCATCTTCAACAAATGATGCTGGTCACACTTTATAGCCACATGCAGAAAAATGCAGATAGATCCATACCAACCTGCACAAAACTCAAGTCCAAATGGATTAAATTCTTAACATAAGACCTGATGCTCTGAATGTGACAGAAGAGAAAGTGGGGAACAGACCTGAACTCACTGGCATGGGAAAGGACTTCTGAACAGGACACCAACACAACAGGCAGTAAAAACAGCTAATAAATAGGACCTCATGAAACTGAAAAGTTCTGTATGGCAAAAAAACACTGTCTTTTGGACAGAGTAGTAGATTATGAAATGAGAAAAGATCTTTACCAATTATACAACTGATAGAAGGTTAATATATAAAATATATGAAAATAAATTAAAAAAAACCTGAACATCAAGAAAATAAACTAATTAAAAAGTGGGGTACAGAACTAAGTATAAAATTCTCCAAAGATGAAATACAAGCAACTGAAAAACAAAACAATGTTCATTATCCTTAGATATCAGGGAAATGCAAATTAAAATGACTTTGAGATTTTTATATTACACAAGTCAGAATGGCCAAGATCAATAAAACAATGATACACATGTGGGCAAGGATGCTAAAAAGGGGGAATACTAGTTCATTGCTGGGGAGAGTGCAAACTGGAACTGTCACTACAGAAATCAGTATGTCAGAAAGCTAAGGCTCGCTCTACCTGAAGATCCAGCTATACTACTCTTGAGCATATAACCAAAGAATTTTATATCCTACTACAGAGATACATACTCATCTATGTTCAGTGCTGTTCTATTTATAACAGCCACATATTGGAAACAACCTAGATGTCCATCAATGATAGATAATGAAAATGTGATACATTTACACAATGGAATATTATTCATCTATTAAAGAAATGAAATTTGCAGGTAAATAGATGAAGCTAGAATAATTCATCCTGAGAGAGGTAACCCAGAACCAAAAAGACAAATGTTACACTATTCTCTTATATGTGGATATTAGTTTTAAGCTTTCAATATGTGTGCTACAATCTGAATAGTCACAGAGATTAGGTACCTAGTAAGGGACCAGTGAGGAGGAGAGAATCTCCCAAGAAAGAGGAAATAGAATATAGAGTTAGGGAGAAATAAAAGGGAAACTAGGAGGATTAAATGGAGGATGAGGGGTGGGGGAGGGAAGCAAGGGAGGAACCATACACAAGGTTGTCTTCTGGCCTGTACACCCACATGTACACACATCCCTCACAGAACAGCCTTTGAAGGATAAAGCAAGGAGGGGTACTACATTAGTAGCAAAGAGCTTTGCTACTTACTTCTTACCTTCAGACTCTTTAGATAATTTGAGAGCATGCTGGGATGGAACCGGTTTTCTTCAGCAACCTGACTATCGTATCTCGGCCCCAACATCGTCTTCAGAGGTAAGAATCTTCCTAAACATTAAAGTAAATAACAATTTCCATTATTTAAAGAAAGGATTAAAATTCTGTAACTTGCTATTTCAAACCTGCCTTCTTAAAAAACACAGTCTCACATATGCCAGGCTGGCTTCAGACTCACTGTGTAGTTGAGGATGACCTTGAATTTCTGCTTCTCTTGTACCACTGACCTGGCTTTATGTAGCACTGAGTATGGAACCCAGGGCTTCCTGGTAATAAGCAGGTACACCCCAACCTCACTTTGTTAATACCTTAATATGAAACTCAAAATCACTTTCACTCTAAGCAACATTTTAAAAGAACACTACTTTAAAACTTTGAAACACAAATTAATTAAGTTGAATTATTTCTAGAACTGGATGATATCAACAAAGGAAAATTACCAGTGAATGAAACTTCCATAAAGAATCTAACCTTGGGGCTAGAAAAATGGCTCAGCTGTTAAGAGCACTTATTGCTCTTGCAGAGGATCTGGCTTCAATTCCCAGCACCCATATGGTGGTTCACAACCGCATGTGACTCCAGTTCCCAAAGATCAGATTCCTTCTTCTGGTCTCCAGACTCCTGTACACACATGGTGCACATGAACTCATACAGGCTCACACACATATATGTAAATAAAACATAAATGAAGAAATCCTTTTTTAGGAATCTAAACTTTAAATCACTAGAGTCATCTGCTCCTATAAGCAATAAGCCCAATAAAACTCATTAGCTCACCAAGTTGGACTTTGGTAAAATCCTTACTTCTTGTCTATTGTCATTTCCCTACCTGGGATAAGTAGGAATAGATGTTCACATCTACCCAGGAGTAGTATCTCACAGAATATCTCAATCTCCCAAAAGTTGGAGTTACAAGTATGTACCTACACATTCAATTTAACTCAATTTATTTCAATTTCCAAATTTCATGGCTTTGATATTTGGGGGTTTCTTTTTTTGTTGTTGCTTATTTGTTGTTATTTGGAACAGGGATTATCAAGTTTAGCCTCAAACTTGGTATGTAGTTGGGGATAACCTTGAAGTCATGATTCTCCTACTTCAATTTTCAGAGTACTGGGATCACAGATATTCCCCTAACAGAAATTATTTTATGTAATGCTAGGGATCAAAACCAGGGCTTTGTGCATGCTAGACAAAGAACCTACTAACTAAAGGACTTCCCCAGCCCTGGCGATATGTGAGGATTGTTAAGTATTCCCATCTTTGAACCTTACCCACATGTCAGGGAAAAGATCAGGGAGGATTTATTATAGTGTTAAAATGTTAAAACCAAATAGTGTTAAAACCAAAAACACTTGCTAAAGACTGTGTTTGGCGCCTTTTTTTTTTTTTAACAGTATAAACCCAGAGAAACCACCTTAAATAAACAATTTTTAAATACCTATTTGTCATGGTTTAAATTTTTATGACTACTTTTAAGATAGAGCCTCATACTCAGCAGTAGTAGCACTCACCTTTAATCCCTGTAGTAAGGAGACAGAGGCAGGCAGATATCTGTGAATTTGAGTCCAGCCTGGTCTACCAAGTAAGTTCCAAGACAGGTTCCAAAGCTATACAGAGAACCCTGTCTCAAAAAGCCAAAAAAAGAAAGAAAGAAAAAGACAGTTTCATGATGTAATCCGGGCTATCATTATAGATAAAGGGGCCTGAAATAGCAATGAATCTCCTGCCTATGTTACCAAGTGCTGAGATTACATTACAGTTCATCTGTAGTTCTTAAATCTCTCTCAAATCTCCAGTGTTGAAGGTTTATTCCCTAATGTGGCAGTGTTCACAGATACAATATCTGGGAGGTGATTGAATCATGAGGGTTTTGACCTCATGAATAGATTAAGATTAACTCACTCACAGATTACAATTCAATGGGTTACTAGGAGACAACAGAAACACTAGCAGGAGTTGTCTATTTGGAGGAAGTCCCTGAGAGAAGCATATGCTTAAAGGGTATACCTTCCTTTCTGGACACCAAGAAGAGAACAGTTTCACTATACCTTCTCTGTCAAGATGTTCTGACTTACTAGAGATCCCAAGGTCCAAAGGAGCAAGGGTCATGTAACCACAGATTGAAACTTCTCAAATTATAAACCAAAAAAAAAAAGATTCTTTCTTCACCTGAAATGGTAGTACAGGCCTGTAATGGCAGCACTGAGGACACAGAACAAGGACCATCACAAGTTCTAGGCCAACCTGGCTTTATAGCAAGAACATATCTCCAAAAAAAAAAAAAAAAAAAAAAAAAAAAAAAAGCAATCATCTTCTTTTTGTGGTAATATGGCCTATATTTAGGGCTTTGTGCATACTAGGGAAGTATGGAAGTATTCTAACACTGGGCTACATCCCCAATCCTTTTGGTTTTGTTTTTCATTTTGAGACAGGATTATTATGTCATGCAGGCTAGCCTTAAGCTTGTGATCAGCCTCCAGAATAGGTGGGATTGATTACAAGTGCACACCACCAAACCCAGACAACATTTCTTCTTTTTTAAATTATTCATTTTTATGTATGTTTGTCTACATGTATATATGTGCACCACATGATGACTTGGTGTCCTAGGTAACCAAAAGAAAAATCAGATCCCTTGTAACTTATACCAAGTGGGTGCCAGGAACCAAACCTGGGTCCTCTGTAAGAGCAGCAAATGCTCTTAACCAGTGAGGCTAAAACCTTTCTTCTTTATTATAAGCTGATTACCACAGGAATTTTGCCACAGTAATAGAAATATAAATAATGAACTACTTAAACTAATTTATATTTTCAAACATAATATGAAAAATAAGGAGAGCTAACTAAAATGTCATTCACCCTAGCCAGGGGTAGTGGTGCAAGCCTTTAGTCCCAGCACTTGGGAGACAGAGGCAAACGGATTTCTGTGAGTTTGAAACCCTGTCTCAAAATAATAATAAAAAAAAAAAAAAAAAAAAGCCATTTACCAAAGTGTAACATTTTTTTTAATTTTTGTTTTCTATAAAACTCAGAAACACTGAGCATTCCTCCATATGGCTAAATTCAATCATCAAGTCTCATTTCTCAATTTACTTGAACTCTCAGAAATACATAAAACAACGGCCAAGCCTGCTGGTAAAGGCCAATAGTTCCAACTTTTCAGAAAAATGAGGCAGAAGAATGAGAACACCAAGGTCTACCTGGGCTACAGAGACAATACAAAGCCAAAATAGTAAGGAATGCCGATGAAACTCATTGGTAGAGTATTACCTAGGATGCCTAGGTTCAATATTCAGTACATGGTGGGGTGGGAGGGTGTAGAGAGCTGGGAAGTGCCGCGCCTTAAAGATGGCGCTGGCTTCTGCCCTCCACCTTCCCGATGGTGAGTGCTCTCTGTATTAAACAATTCCATATTTGGCTAAAAGCTGAGAATCTGGTTTGCTTCTGTGTATGTGGACCTGTCTGTTTTTGTTTTTCACCGCATGGCATTCTGGGGTTGACTGCCCAAGGGCTTTTAAGCTGTGGGCTGGGCTGCCCCGGGGGTCAGAAGATTATACAAGGTTCCTGAATAAACTGCTTAAAGAAGAGTCTAAACGTTGTATTTTCTTTGCTGGTCAAAGCAGACGCGACAGGAGGGCAACTGATGAAACTTTTTCTTGCACGCACAAGTGCAGTGTGTGTGTGTGTGTGTGTAAAATCACATGTATATGCATATATGTATACATATTATGTGGAGGCCAGAGGTCAACTCTGGTGTTCCTCAGGAGACATCCACCTTAATTTTTAAAATTGTCTCTCACTGAGAACGCTGGTTGTGAGATTGAGCTACAGAGCCCCAGGGACCTGCCCAGGGACCTTCTCCAATGCTAGGATTACAAGCATGTACAAGGCTTTTTAAATGGGCACTGGGAATCCAACTTAGATCCTCACACCTGCAAAAAAAATATCAACTGAGCCATCTAACTCAAGAATGAATTCTTAGATAATTTTGGATTAACTTTCAGGACGTTTTTCCTACACCTCTTATTTTCTCTTGTACCTGTTTAGCATTGCCTTAGGTTCTTTTGCCTGGCTCTATCTGATCTCCCTGTTTGGTCCTTATCGTACACTTCCCTTCCATCTGCATTCACTCCTTTGATGTCCCATCTACTCTCATATGGTTAATAGCTAAAGATGTGCTTTTTTTCCCCCTTGTATCCCTGGCTGGCCTGGAATTCACTACACACAGTGCAAACTAACCTTGCGTTTATATACCCTGATCCTCCTGTCTCAACTTCCTGAGAACTGGGATTACAGGTGTATACTTCATACCCAGTTCTGAGGAGTAAATGCTTATCTCCACTCTAAACCTCCCTCTAGGTGGGCATGCATGGGAGGACATTTCTATAATCTCGCCTGAAAAGCAGAGGCAGAGAGACCTGGATATAGAGTAGATTCAAGGCCAGTATGAGCTACAAGAGACTGTATCAAAAACATAAATTACGGGGGTGGTACACACCTTTAGTCCCAGTACTTAAGAGGCAGAGGCAGGTGGATCTCTGTGAGCTCAAGGCCAGCCTGGTCTACATAGGGAGTTCCAGGACACCCAGGACTACATAGAAAAACTATGTCTCAAAAAAGAAACAAAACATTTAAAACCTTTTAATTCTAGTTTATATCAAACCACCTGTCTTACTGTCTAAATTTAACAGACATCTCTCATTTGGTGTCCAAATTTGATCTTTCAATATTCAAACTGTTCTTACTGTTTTTTCCCCATCTCAGCTAATAATGTATCACTCTTCTAATAGTTTTGTTTTTATTATTTGGTGGGCGGGAGACACCAAAAGATCTGACAGTATCCAGTATCTATTTTTCTTTTCAAAATTTTTCATTATCATTTGTGTGTGCGAGAGGGGGGAGAGGGAAAGAAAGACAGACAGACAGAAGACAGAAAGACGGGGGGGGGGGGCACATGAATGCTGATACATGTGTCACTACACATGTATGGAAGTTAGAAGACAACAGTGGAGGCAATTCTCTCCTTCCATTGTGAGCTCTAGGGATCA